ACATGAAAATCAACGTTTACGGGCGGCATTTTCCGGCGGAAAATGATAAATTTCCTGCGGTTTTGTAAATTTCGACGGCTTTTCGACGGCAAATTTGCTGCCGGTAAAACACGCTTAGGAAAAAAAATTGCAGCGGTATTTTCCGGTGGAAAAAATTTTTGGCAGTTTTTTGACAGAAAAAAGCCGCCGGAAAATATCAAAAAGTAATTAAAAAAATCTGACCGCTGCCTAACCACCCCTGCCCTACTCGGTTGCCCGCCCGAGCTCCCGCCCTAATTAATTTAAATTAACTAAGAATTATTATTTAATTAAAGTCGCCAGAAAACTTAATCAAAATTATAAATTATATTAGGAAAAGCCGTCGGAAACTTCGCCGGTAAGCCGTCGGAAACAAAGCCGCCAGAAAACCGCTGGTTATTTTTTTGAAAAATTAGGCTGTCGGAAAGCTGCCGGAAATTTGTCCGCTGGTAAGCCGCCGGTAATTGATGACTTTCTTGTAGTGAGAATGCGAAATGAGTATATACGTGAAGAATTTATAATAGCTCTAGGGCAGATAAGATTAGAGAGTATTGTCGCCTTCGATCGTTTGGTCACATAAAACGTCGGCCTTCTAATGACCTGCTTAGGAGAGTAGATGTATTAGATTTGACCTACGTTAAAAATGATAGAGGTAGATCTAAAAAGACTTGGTTAGAAAATATTAGAAATTATCTTTTTTATTAGATTTAAATGAGACAACGAAGAAAAAGGATTCATGTAGTCGACTCCATGTATTGGCTAAAGGCTTTATCTTGTTGTTGTTGTTGTGGCGTATGCTTGTTCAATTCACATATTTGCACATTATCTAGTTATCCAAAAACAATTGAATGTATATGATCAAAATATTTCTAAGCTGCACATTCATTAAAATGAGCCCCCGAACTCTTCATCCAACAAGTGATTTTTTATTATTTCATGTCATATCATCTATAGTTTTTCTAGACAATTAAAGCCTTTGAGGTCTAAGTGTCAGTGGGAGATAACACAACACTTTTTATGGAACATCCGATAAAAGTCTTCTATAGCATCTTTCTTAGGTATATATCATTATTATCTACATATCAAACACTTCAATAGATCATTATACTCTTTATAAAATAAAACACAATAATTCTTCCATATATGCATTTTTCATAATCAAGATCAAGAGACATCATCATCTTTTTGGTTTGATATGTATTTGTTGGTATTTTGTTTTCTTCAGGTAAAATTGGTTTACTTACAGATAGATATCAACATGATGTTTATTAATTACATCAAACTCAAGTTTAATAATTAGAAGTTTGGAATTAGTTGATAACTTCAGTCTTAACACTAGCCACTAATGGTTGGTATGCATCTTATTGATTGGTTTTGAATTTGGCTGCTCAATTGAATTCATGCCTTCAAATCAAATTCTTTTATTTTGTAATTTTAGGCGCGTCGCATCCATCCTTAAAGCTAAATATGACCCAATATGATATTCTGCTAGAACCACTGATTGACGGATATGTATAGTTTCATCAAACACTATAGGAAATTCAGGCATTGCCAGCAGTTAGACCACCAATATTAACTGGCGGTTTATTCGGCGATTTTTAATAAACCACCATAGGAATTAGCGGCTTATGATAGCCGCCGGAAGTTTAATATAACTGTCGGTAAATATCGGCGGTTGCCGGCGGTCAACCAGCGGTTAGGCCACCAGTAAAACCGACGTTTTTGACTGCCGATAAGCTGCCGGTGATTAACCGGCGATCACCGGTGCTATGATCGCCGGAATTAACCGGCCGTTTATGCCGCCAGAAATCGTTTCCTATGTGGTTTATACCGGCGGTTTACTAACCGCCGGAAAACCACCGGTATTTTATGAAATCGCTGGAAATATAATAGGAACCGCAGGAAAAAAGCCGCCGGTAATTCCTGATTTTCCTGTAGTGAAAATCATGGCATTCGTTATAGTACGCCACAAATCCTTTTTTGTATAAATAAGTCTTGTCATCATAAATAATAAGAAATTTTCTATGCATACATTTACATAATAGACATGATATTTCACTATTCTTTCCATTTGTCTATATAAATATTAATCCAAAATCTCATGTTTTTTTTTTTTTAATACTCAAAACGTGTAATTGAGATTGGATTGACTTAACGAAATTCAATTCAAATGTAATAGTCAAGAATTAAGCAAGTAGAGCTAATTAAACTTAAAACAATTTAAAGTGCCAAAACTGCAACACAATTTCATGTCTCTTTTCAAACACCAAAGACTGGTTAACACAGAAACACTAAGACTTAATTCATCCTTAAAATCAGCTCATTGATATAATTCTCCCTATTGCCAGCATCTCCACCTTCCACATAATGATTCCTCTTCTTTTTAAGGCCTCCAAGTGGTGCTTTCAGCTTGAACGGCCACAAGAAGTTGTTGGCCTCTTTGAAGTGAGGACCCACAGAGAAAATTTCATGGATGAGGTCCTCAATGCAGATTATCTTATGCTTCCCAAGACCCTGCTCAATGATGGAATTGTTGGTTAATGGAATTCTTTGCTTCTGCAATTTCCCATAGCCTCTATTGTAAATCAATTCTCTCACACTTTTGAGATTAGGATAGCCATATGTAACAGAAGGCTCCACCCTCCGAAGCATGTTTATGGTGGCCTTGTTCACCTTCAGGAACATGCCATTGAAGATCTGTCTCAGACGCAAAAGCTGCAAAATCTTATTAGTCTTCGGGTGCATAGCATTAATACCGCGGATTCTGATGATAAAAAGAAGCTTGGCTTCGGGACACACATAGAACCCTCCCTTCAACCTAGCCTCGCGCTTAAGTTTAATTAGCTCCTTTTCCTGATTCTCGTACTCCTTCGCATACTGCTCTGCCCTCTTGAAAATTAACTTGCAGTTCTCGCGGTTCTTCTTGCGCTTCTCTTCAAGCTTCTCCTTTTTCTCTAGAGCCCACTGATCCTCTCTCTTCCGCTTCTTCAGAACTGATTCAGGGATCACGTCCTTCGCCTCCACCTCGGCCATCTCTCCCTCTCGCTACCTCTGTAACCGATCACAAAGTGGCGGCATCTCATGTTTTTTGTTATTACACTATTAGGCAAAAAAACAGATTTGGTAATTAAGGGGCCACTTTGCGATAACTTTTTTGTTTTGTTTTTAATTTATTTGGTTTATGTTTTTTAGAATTTTTTTTTTTTAAAACAAAGCAAGTTGTTTTTCAAACACTCAAAATAACTTTTAGGCATATGTACTTGATTTTCCTTTTTTATTTTATAGGTAAAAATCACCCAGGACATTATTTGTCAATGACCAGTACTACCTGTCATCACCATCTTATACAATATAAAATATGAAAACAATAACAATATTTATTTGAGATATCAAATAAATTTTAGTTTTATATTAAGATATAAATAAAACAAACAAAAAAAATCAAAAATAAAAAGTGATCATAAATAGTCATTGAAGTTATCGACCTCAATGCCATTTCTATATATCATTTCTTTAAATCTTGATGAAATTGGTTAGCTTTCTCCATTCATAATAAGATTGTGGGAAAACATAAAGTAGTTTGAACGATAGAATGAATAACGAATGCTTTATGAAAAAATTATGTCATTATATTTTGATACGTATATATTTTTTTTGGTTAAAATTTACGGAGGGGCCTACGCGTTAATATTAAGAAAAATAATTACAAAGTCCTTAAGGGAGACCATCAGGTCGCTACTGCTTAAAAGAGCTACAAAACAAAACAAAAGAAAACCTAAAAGCCGATTTTCTCCACTAAGCCAGATTAGATATATGTTTGGCTGTTTTTTAAACATGCACACACTCTCTCATGTAACAATTCATATGGAAAAATGGGGTGAGAACATACTAGTAGTGGTGTAATTTAGTAAAGCCGACTTGTAAGTTTATTCATCGGGCTTGACTTGACTCATGAGCTGAGTTAAATAAGCTTACGAGCCAAGTTTAAGTCAGTCCCAACTTAACTTATTAGCTCATGAGCTGACTCGTTTAAAATTTATTAATATAAAATATACTTTAAATATAATAAATTTAATAGTTTTAATATAAATTAAGTTGTAAGAAATATTCCAAATTTTTATTTAACTTCCTTATTTCAAGTGATTTTTTATTACTACTTATTTATTTTTTATTCTTTTTATAATGTAATTATAATGACAGTTTGAATTAGAATGATCTTTTCTATTTCTTAATAATGAGCTGACTTGTGAGCTAATTCAAACTTGCAGCATAAGCTCAAGTTTGATTAATAAGCTCAATCCTAGAGTGGCTCGAGCTCGGTTCAACTCTTTTACACCCATACTCGTCTAGTTGTGATATGTTGATTATGCATCATGAAAATGTGATATTTCTTGCAGGGTGAGATTTAAATCATTGATCTCACCTTTTAAATTTTATGGCAATACCACTTAATTAAAGGGCAGTTGTGATTGAAATGTGGTGCTAACTTACCACCTATATATCAAGTTTTCCCTATATATGATATATGAGCATACACATATTGGTAATAAATAAATTCATTATGAGTGTGGAAAGTATTGCACTTTCAAGACTAATATTTCAATTCTTAATTTAAATCTATGCAACCTGTCATGTAAGGAGAGATTTTTGTATGAGCTTAGTTAGAAAAATCTTGTGTGCTTTGTTGAGTTTGTACTTAGTACGTATTTGAGCAATATTGATACTATACTAACTAATAACCAGAACAATATTGAATTAAAACACAAGGAAATTTGGAGTTAAGCCCACAGAAAAATGTATCATATATAAAAGAGAAATTTATCTTGTTTAGAAGGACGTATAGAAAATAAAAATTATGATAATTTAGTTCTCATGAAAATTCGCATAGAAAAATGTATAAAAACCAAAGAATGAATTAAATGAAATCATGATAATTTTGTTCTCATGAAAATTCTCATGATTAATATTTTTTATGTTTGTAGCATGGAGAAAATTCTTGAACGGTATGAGCGTTATTCATATGCTGAAAGAGCGTTATTTTCCAATGAGGCCAACCCCCAGGTACATATGGAATTTTTGTTTGGGGTAATTTATTTATCATCCTTCTCTTTTTTGTGAGGTTTTCATGAAATATTATTTGCAGATTTAATGCTGGCTTCTGCATGCACTGGATGAGTGCTAAATCCATGCAAAAATTGCCTAGCTTGTGATAAAAAAAAAAAAATTCCTTGTCAATTAAATGTTCTGAATTTTTTTGTTAAATTTAACATTTGAGTTGGATTTTATATTCTAACCTTATTAGCATGCTATCTGAAACAGAACGATAGATTCAAACATTTCCTGTTCATGTAATCGGAAAAAAATGCATGATGCAAAATGTATTATTGTATGGAACTCTAGCATCGTAGCAAATTACAACATAGCTACATATACCATGTTGGATATTTCACTATCATGTTTAATTTTCTCGCACCAATTTTAAAATATATCAATTGACATAACATTGATTGTGTCAAATCATAATTTTGAACATGCTAACAAAAAAGTTTGAATATAGAAAATAAATGCACAGTCCGAAGAGATATTAATCTTTTTTTTTTTGTTCTTACTTACAAAACGTTTCTTCATGTTTTGCAAAGTAATGATACTTTTTTTTTGTTAAAACTCATAGAAGGGCTTACTTGTCAATACAAAAAAGAGATTGCAAATCATTAAGGGGATCAAACGCTCACTACACACTCAAACAGCTACAATCATAAAGAGAAAAAAAATCCTACTAGCAAAAGATCCCAACTACAGTACATAGTAAAAGAAAATAAAGCGGGAGGCAGTAGTCGGACCCAAAAAATAAGCCATAGCTTAAATAGTCTTTAAAATCTAGATAAACATCCATGCCCCAAAAATCAGCCATAGCTTGGAAGTCTTGATCATCCAGGCATAAACTCATAACCTGCAAAAAATAAACAAAACTGCCCCACAAATACCAAATTATAATAATGACATAATAAATAGAACTATTACCAACCACGGATACATTCCAAAGGATCTGATAAAAGTTTTGCTGAGAAGTACCGCCAAACAGCCAACCATCCAGCCAACAAACCCAATATTGTGGGCAAGTAAAAATAAAATAGAATATATAGCAGACCGACATCAGAGCAAGACCAACACAGGATAGAGTTAACAACTGGCATCAAATTCCATAGATATATAAACAGGGGTGAATTAGCTAACCACCCAAGAAGAGGGCTAGTTGGGTAGCCAGATAATAGAGGAACTAAGCAATAAGGAAAGACACATACCTCAAACAAATACCAAATAAAACTAAATTAAAGGTAAAACGGGAGGAAGCTTGCAACGGACTACCTATAACAGGCCCACAAGAAACCCAACCAGACACCGCCAAAAAATAAAACTTCAATGGCCACAAACTAGCAAAAAGGAGATGCAAAACAAGAGTAAAAACCAACATAGGCACACATCAAAATAAACAAAACAAACCAAACCAAACCAAATTTAAATTCTCAAATAAGGTAAGCCAGCCTTGTCCAACTTGATAAGCCCCCTTAGCATACGTGGTAAATTCGACCCAGACAAATCCTAGAAGGATTCTAACTATCTGCCAAATTTGGCGGCCAATCAGTACCCGAGTTTGCCCCACGAAAGATATGGGTAAGAGAATAATTAAACTTACTAAGACACTACTTAATCTCTTTGATGAGATAGAAATTATCTGAGCTACCGGCATTAGAATTATTAATGATAAAAGTTAAAAGCCTGGCACAATCTCCAACTGAATATCAAAGATAGCCAAAGAGTAGCACATGTTTATGCCATAAGAAAAACCCTTGAGCTCAGCAGTGATCACATTGCAATAGGTTAACGAACTACTAAAAGCCAAAATAACATTCCCCAAATGATCTCTAATAATCCCATCACCACCAGCTGACAAGTTATTAATGGAGCCATTAGTATTCATTTTACAAAAAGGAAAACAAGGCTTAATCCACCTCACAATCCTTTCCTTTTCTCATGATTCTGATCAGCACAAATGTCAATACCAAAACAATGAGCAGTACTTTGACGCTTATGAAAACTTTTGGCAGAGATAAGGTTAACAGAATGTAAATGCAAGATTTTATCTTTCACCTTAACAATGATGCACCTATAATCCATCCTAATGTCTTTATGTTTAGAGTCATTCCTTTCCATCCAAAAGAACCACATAATAAGAATGGGAATCAGATTTTTAATATGATGACCTTTGATAGGGGAAGACCAAGAAAGTAAAATAAAGGTAATATGACTATCATAACTGAAGAAGTCAATATTAAACATCCCATAGAAACACCACCAGATTTTAATGGCAATGGCCCCATGAACAAACAGATGATCCATAGTTTCAATATTGTAGCAGCTTTGGCAATTTGAAGGAATATAAAAACCTTTTTGACACAATAGAATATCAACTGACAGCCAGTAATGGAGAACTCTCCAAACTAAAATATAATAGGACATAGCTGTATTCTTATGCCAAATAGTAGTAAATAGAAAAGATTTCTCATGAGTGGTTCTAAAATTATTGCACACATTCTTCAAAGCACATTTACCAAAATTAGACAACTTAAATAAAATATAATCCACACTATGCAATTTTAAAGAAATTCATAAAATTATATCAACTAAATTATCAGGAATAAACTCTAGTAGTTTGTTAGCATTCCAATTGCCATTCTCAATGAAACTATTCACCTTAATAGATGCAAGAGTGTGAGACTTTAAATAGTTATCAATAGAGTATGGGCCAATCCAATTATCTTTCCAACAGAAGATATCACCTTGTCCCACACCCCATTGAATATTCTATTCAGCCTCCCACTTGATAGAGCAAAGCATTTTCCACACCCTGGATTCAGAGCCTTTAAAATTGCATAAAAGAGGATGAATACCATGACAATATTTGTGCATCATGAAATTAGCCCATAGTATTTTCTTGGATCTAAAGAAAAACTAAAGCTTGTGAGAGAAAGCATGCGTCATATCAACCAAATTCTTACACCCAAGCCCCCCATTCATAAAAAATGTCGGAGATATTCTTCCAAGAGGACCAACAAATATAAGAACTGTTGTTCTTAGAACAAAAAAAAATATTGAACAGCCTATTCATACGAAGACAAATGGTTAACGTAGGTTGAATAGTATGAAAATATAAATAGGTAAGGAACTCAAGATGCTTTTAATCAAACAAGCCTGCCACTAAAAGAAAGAAAATTAAAAGCCCAGGAAGAACGATTTTTTTTTAATTGAAGTAAAAATATCCTCAAATAGGTGAGACATCTTCTTACATTTATAAAGAGGGGTACCCAAGTACTTAATAAAAAGATATTTGGAAGTAAAGATAGTTGCACAGGATAGCATTAATCCTAGACTGATTCACTCTTTTACCCACAATAAAATAGCTCTGATCTTTATTAATAGTCAAACCACTAGTTTTTTGAAACTATACAGTACAGGAAAATCATCAATTACCGACGATTTTTTTCAACGGCTTACCGGCGGATAATTTTCCAGCGGATTTCAAACGGCCCAATTCTTCAGAAAAATTCCCAACGGTTTTCCAGCGGCTTTCCGTGAAGTTTCCGGTGGCTTTTTCGGCGGTTCGTAGTAATTTTTGATTAATTTTTCCGGTAGTTTAATTAAGTAATAATTTTTAGTTAATTTTAATTAATTATTAATTTAATAACTTAGTCAAATAAAACATTAATTTAATAACATATTTAATTAATTATTAACTTTAATATTTAATATTTAATTTTTAATTTTTAATTATAATTTTTGTATAATATAGTTTAAATAAAAAAAGATAAGCATTATAACACATTTTCCCTCACAGCATAATGGTTGGGCAGACTTACCAAAATGGACTCAGTTCAAATCCCGGGTAAGACGCTTGCCCGGGCAGCAGGCAGGCAGCCGGTTAAGCAGGGCAGCGCAAGCAGGCCTCCTGGAAGGGCAGCGGGCAGGGCGGGACACTACAAGAAAACAAGAGATTACCATCGGACTTTCCGGCGAAATTTTCTGCGTCGGTAAATACGGTGTTTGTACCGGCGCATAATGCGAAGGAATAATAATGACGTTTTTTCCGGCGCATAGTGCGACGGAAAATTTGCGACGTCCAATGCGCCGGTCGTAACGTCGGAATATAACAACATCATTCTTACCGGTGGACTTTACGGCGGAAAATGTCCGGCGCATTTACCCGCGGATATTACGACGACTATTTTAAACTCAACGACTTGTAATCGGCGCAAAATGCTCTGGAACACATTCCGGCGTCTAGGATGCCGGAAATTCCGCCTGCGAAAGCCCTATTTCCGAACACGAGCCCGTATGGCTGCTCATTTCATTCAATCATTTCTCTCGCATCTCCGGTGTCTCCCACGCCGCCCCAGCATCACCCACCGTAGATCGCCGTCGCCGAGCTTTGTAGATGTTCACCGGACGTCGCCGACGATCACCGCCTTCGTCGCCGGCAATCACCGCCTTCGTCGCCGGCGAAAGCCCTATTTTCGATCGTGAGTTTTCGCCGCCTCCCGGTTTCGTGGATTGTAAGATTTTTTTTATTCATGTTATTTCTTTTTAGACATTTGATATAGGATGCATATTGTAGATGTTTTTATGTTGAAAAAATATTCAAAATCAATTTGGATTCATGCCGGGTAGGTCTATTATGGAAGCCATACATTTTTGAAAGGTTTGATGGAGAAATATAGAGAGAGTAAGGAGGATCTACATATTATTTTTGTTGATTTAGAGAAAGCATATGATAAAGTTTCAAGAGGAGTGCTATTGAGAGTTCTTGCAAAAAAAAATAGTTAATAACGCTTATATTCAATGTTTTTTTGTTTATAAACTTTTCAAAATCAATTTGAATTCATGCCGGGTAGGTCTATTATGAAACCCATACATTTATTGAGAGGTTCGATGGAGAAATATAGAGAGAATAAGGAGGATCTACATATGATTTTTGTTGATTTAGAGAAAGCATATGATAAAGTTCA